TGAAGTAAATTTTCCAGGTACAGTCCCAGAAGCACATTAGGATTTCATGCTTCAAGAGACATTCTTGCCTTTATTTAATACCGAGGACCTCTGCAACATTCCTGTACCTGGTAACAAAGATTTCATCGTATTTGTGAATACTCTTACTTCTGCTATTCTGTTTCCCCTGTATGGGAAGAAGTGTTTCCTGTTAGCTGCAAATTCATTGCATCATTCAAAAAGCACCAGAAGACAGTTTGGAGTGCTATTTTAATATATCTTTCAAAAATGCATTAGATTAAGGGAGAGTGCAGAGGAATATCTAGAATTTTTAGAACCATTTTTTTATAATTTGTGAAACATAAATGAATATTAAGCTAACATTGCATGCATTTATTTTGCATTTTTAAACATAAATCGGTATCTTCCAGAAGTTAATGTGGCATGTAAAGAAGTTATTATTTAAAAAAAAAAAAATAAGGGCAGATTAAGGGTACTTTAAAATCTGTGCTTTTGCTTGGCCTTTCCCTTCTTTGTAGAAGAATCCCCAAATCTGCATTTAAACAGCTGGAAAGACAAAAACATGTTTTATTGATGTAACCTGTATTATGTAAAGTAATTTATCGGGTGCCGTAATAACCATTTCTAGATACTAACTGCTTGTCAACACAGTCCCAGAGCAAACATTATCTGGTCGTTATCTGCAAGCTCATTTAATTGTCCCAAATCAGAACGACGGATAGCTTCATAAACGGACAATCACCGTTTTTCCTCGCCCCATCACCTGAATTTCCATCAGTTCCAGGGAAAGCCAAACCCAAGCGGATCGCTTGTTCCATGCTGGAAGGGCAACCTCTTCTCCCTCACCTCTTTCTCCACTTCTCCAAGGCAGCAGAATTTTCTACTTTGCTGTGTTACTTCATTGATATTTTTAACTCCAGTTCTGCTTCCGTACTGACAATTTCTGGTCTTTTCTTGCCCAGAAATGTGTCACACAGGAGTGGCTGGTGAAGCAGGGCTGTCCCAGGGGCCAGCAGATCCAGCTGCCGGGGATGTCCCACCATCAGCGCTTCTTCAGCGTCCCTGCGGTCTAAATCCAACTTCAGTCCAGGGCACTACCCGGTTGCTTGTTTTTATTCAAAAAGTGCCAAAATCTGCTAACTTCTCAGTGAAATGCTACCATAATTTGTGGAGTTCACTCGTATTTCTCAATGAAAATATCGAGATTTCCAGTGCTTGCCACGGGGCAAACGTGTCTCTCTCTCCCTGCCCCCTCGGTGTCTCTTCTCGTTCCCTCAGCTGTTTTGAGGGGGGGGTTTTGGTCTGTTTTCACGGATTTGCCCCCACGCCGCCCACCCCAGCTCACACCCGCCTCTAGAGCTGTCCAGCAAGCTCCAAGGTGCCTTTCCCACGGCTCTTTGCCTCTCTCCAGCGCAGCTCCCCCCCCGCCCCGAAACTTCGCTTCTGGAGAGGCCCTGCCCGCGGGGGAGCGGGCTGCCCCCGCGGCGGGCACAGCCCGCGCAGACTTTTCACGGATTTGCCCCCACGCCGCCCACCCCAGCTCACACCCGCCTCTAGAGCTGTCCAGCAAGCTCCAAGGTGCCTTTCCCACGGCTCTTTGCCTCTCTCCAGCGCAGCTCCCCCCCCGCCCCGAAACTTCGCTTCTGGAGAGGCCCTGCCCGCGGGGGAGCGGGCTGCCCCCGCGGCGGGCACAGCCCGCGCAGACGCCGCCCGGCCGTCACGGCACAGGTGGATGGTGAGCGCTGGCCGGGCCGGGGACCGGACTCG